AAAAAAAAACTAGACACATTTAAGAAATTGTTGTCATTAATAGAATCTCCTTAACCCTGAGAGTAAGGCTTATTTCGAATTCGTTATTGTACATAAGTAATTTTAAATATGCCACCACATGTTCAACATATTTAATAACGCTATTTTGATTGTTGAAATCTATGAAATTTCGTAAGTCTCTTTGGAACAATGACACAATAAAAAGCTGCAGCTCTCGTGGAAAAAAGATGAACAAAACGTCATTAAAGGATTAAAAGCTAAGAGATTTCTTAAGATGTTGTGTTCGATGGCTAATGACGGATGCTGATTCCTTTGTTTCTGCTTCTGCTTTTTCGTACACCAATGGGAGACGGTTCGTCTCTATGTAATACCAAAGACAATACTTAAGGAATTAATTTAGAACATCAAAGACATTTTCATTCGAAATTTTCAGAATAAGTTTAATGCATGTCAAAACTAGACAAAAATGTTCATAAGCTTCCTAAATATGGAGATATTAGGCTTTGATCAAGCAGTGTGGTCCCTTTCCCTCAAGGCTCAAGAGTGATCAATGCCTGATTCTCTTTAGAACAATACAATGACAAGCAGACTGGACAGATTATGACAATTATGAAAATTATTCACCAGGGGATAGTTGTGGGGCCCTACCAAATTTGAAAGAAATTGTATAACAATCAAACATGTATCCCAAGCTTAAGACTTCCTCAATTCACAAAGTGGCTTGAACAAGATATAGAGGGCTTTCAATGCTTTTTATCTTCAATAGGACTGCCTCCTCTACATTGTATTGTGACAAAATAGGTAACTAAGATGTATTTGTTTTATCCTTGGTCTCCTAGTATCTGCTCTTTCTCACAGCAGTACATACCCGCTGAATTAATTTGCTGCTTCTTAACAGCTGTTTCAGCCTTCACTCAGAAAGTGAAGTAAATTAAATCTGAATGCCACATGCAACTTGGGTTGTAATCATGAACTTATTGTCTGACCAGGGAGTCGTCAAATCTGTTGTTACATTGATTACCTCTGGAATAGCTGACAATAACCTAGGGTAAACATTTTGTAACAAAGAAGGCATAGGCTGTACAATTGTAACATCTAACCTTTAATTTTTGAAAGAAATTAATGGAATTGTAGATCCCACTTTTTTCTTCACTTTTTCCCTTCTTTTCACCACAGTTCTCAGATATGATTGATTTTTTACTCTTCATTGTCACCTAATCTTTGTTAAAATGAAATTTTTAATTTCGAGTTTTCTGAGATTTCAAAAGATCCCAATTGTGTGATAGTTTTATGACTGAAGGTTAAATGTAAATGGAATATGAATATATAAATACTTCTTCTACCTTGTAATTAAGTGGCCTTGCTGGTTGCCATAATTAACATTATTAACTCACAGAACAATTCCCATATTAAAATTCGTAACATTATTAAAAGCTTTTTGCCTTGTTTTTATGACCGGCCTACCCTGTCAAAATTGATAGATTACGTTTTTGTCATCTACAAAATGCACTTAACTGGCTTTAGCTGACACACACAGTGCCAATGTGTCTTTCCAGAATATACCCAATACTCTTGATAACATCATTCTTGCTACATACAATAATGATTTGTCATACATTTCTAGTAATGTTACTTTCAGCACAGAATTCAGTGGTTCAATCAGCAAACCAACTCACACCATATATATTTGCCATGAATTTACACGGCAAATATATTTTCATTTGGTGCTCAAAAAGAGAGACTGGGAGGGAGTGGACGGGGGGCACAAGTGAACATGGCGCCTCAATAGGGCAGGGGAGCTTCCTCTAGACAAGTTATTTGTATTACTGAGGTAGCAGCAGCAGGAATCTCGGTCACTTGGGACCCAAATAACTGCATGGAATGAGGTGTCTGTATCATCATCATCATCATCATCATCATCATCATCATCATCATTGATTTGCTATGTAAATAATAACAAAAGATATGCTAATAACATGCAAGAGTAAGGGGAAAAACAAAATTCAGTTCTTGAAATTGTAAGTGGTGTAAAACAATATTCTTGGTTAATTATCAGCCCAAGCCAGTTGCCACGGGACCAAAGAGACCAAGAGGAAGACCGCGAAAATGGGTAATTGAGATAGTTTACACCAGTTAGTGTTATTTCCATGCTAGAATGATTAACCCTCAAGTAAAGTGACTGACCAATGGACCATCTGACCAATTAACTGACTGACCGACTGCCTGACAAACTAATCGACCAACCAGTGCAGTGGACATGTTTATATAGTCCCATTGAAGGCAGTCCTGGACTCACAATTTGCGTAATTGATGTTAAACATAACATTCCATGATCAATTCAGCTTAACATTTGCAGCTTGTCACCCTTATAGTTTTTTCCCAAAAAGCTTGGTGTGTTATAAACTGGGTTTCTGCTGTCATCTTTGTTGCCATTGCAGGGATGCCGCAAAGAATGTCTGCGTGATGGTTGGACGTTTAGCAATAATGAATAGCAGTGATAACACTTGTCTCTTTGTTCAATTAATTTATAGCCTCCTCCAGATACATCACTACCTAAACGGAGCAGGGGAAGACCTAGGAAAAATGTGAGTCCTAATTTAGAAGTAAATGCAAAGTGGGATGTTGAGGTCTCAAACATATCACAAAAATAATCCTTATCCATCGAGTATTTCACATAATTTGAAAGTGGTAGGGGAAGCTACAAGAGCCATTTCATACAACATTGACCAAGTTTAGGTGTAAAGTGCCTGTTTTATATCATGTTTTAGCAAGCAATCCAACTTCTTTCATTTGCGATTGTAGATAAGACACACTTTCTTTGAAAATATTTATTAGAGTGCGTGGCATGAAGGTCGACAGATCACTTAGGGTCAAAAATCCTGCCTAAGAACATAACACCAGCACTCCAGCTGGGCTTTAGCTTGGACAGGTTTGTTAGTCTGCAAGCACGTTCTCATGGAGAAGGGGCTGTGGAAGGAGTGAGTTAATTCTGGGACAACCTAGCAAGTTCTCCTTTCCTCCAACTGCTACTATTGTCAAGACAGCTTGCTCTCAGGCCATGTGCTTTTTTGACATAAGATCCTCCACAAAATCCATTATGTCAACCCATGAACATCTCCTTTACTTAATAAGTAGTAATTAAAGGTTTCTCTTGCAGGCAAACCCAACTTTAGAGCTTCCCACTATGGTTGGCATGGCAGCAGATCCAACTTTGCAAAACGATAGACCACCAGTAGTAACTGCACCAATCGCAACTGATGTTGTTCCACCAGACGATTTATTTAATAATGATGATGCAGACTGAGCTCATCGTTGAGACACTGAAATACCCTTGTACAACATACTTCTACTCTACAAAGGTTGGCAGTATGAAGCAGAGTGTAATGGACAGAATTGAGAGGTTACTATGCAAAGTATTATATTGAGAGATGGAAAATGAATTGAAAGATATCGAACAAGTTTGGTAGAGAATGGTATATTGGTCGTGTTTGCTTATAAAATGTGACACATAATTATATAATATTATATATACATTAGGAATAGATCTTTGCGAATTGTGCACCACTGTTTATAATGTAACACAATTATTAATATATGTATAGAGTAAATTTAGAATATAACAGATTGCAGCAAAGCTCACTGGAGAACATTTCACATGCGCACTTAGTAATTGCTATGCTAATGGCTTAGATAACATTATTCTTGACATCTTTATGGTGTCTGCTACATCTTATAGATTCTCTGTGAATCCGTCATTGTCCTAATAATATTGGCTGTCAAGTTGACATTTGAGCAAAGTTGGTACAATTTCAATACCATTTAAAAGTATAAAGCTGTTAGAAGTAAAATTATTTGTCGCATATTACCATTGTATTGTGTGTATATAAACATTTTGAATTTAGTATTATCACTATGCATACATTTGTAGAGGTGTAATTTGCCTTTTAACTCATACATGGAATTTCTAATAATTCTCAATGTTGAAATTAGTATTAAAACATAGGTCAGTGTATTTATCATATTGTGATAATAATATTATTGATCATGATGAACTTGTAGAACCAGAATAACTTGTTTATCAGGTTCCTTATTGTCTTCAGCACCAGCAGTGATCAGCACCTAATTTTTCCTCAAAGTATCAGGTTATCAGAATTTAGGATCTGATTTAATTAGGAAAAAAATTCTGTTGTCCTAATTACTATAAAAATTAGTTGATACTTGTTCTCCTGCTAGGACAAGATGAGATAGAAATATTTTTAGTCAATAATAGAAGGGTTAGGTCACTCTATTTTTGGTGATTTGTTACATATAAATCCAGGGGGACTCC